GGGGGGGGTTCTGGGGGGGTCGAGGGGGGGCTCTGAGGGTCTCGAAGGGGGTCTCGAGCAGGGGGAGGGGACACCCGGCCGCCATTTGGCGTTGGAGGCGGAGCGGGAGCGGAGGCGCCTCCCCGGGGCCCCCCCCTCCCCTCCCGTCCTTCCGCCTCCTCCTCCTCCGCCCCCCCCTCGGCTCCCCCTCCCCCCGTGAGGCGCCGGGAGCGGCCGGGAGCGATCGGTAACGGGGGAGCGGGGAGGGGGCGAGGGACCCCCTGCTTTGGGGACTTTGCTGGGGGTGAGGGACCCCCGGGGGAGGGGGCGGCTGCTGAGGCCTCAGGGGCTGTGAGGGTCCCGGGGGGGCTTCGATTCGGGGCTCGGGGGGGCTTTGCTGTGGGCTGAGGTGATGTTGGGGGTCCCGGTGTGGGGTGTGAGGGGATGTTGGGGTGTGAGGGGATGTTGGGGCTCCCGCAGTGGGGCTCGGGTTTCACTCTGTGGGCTGGGGGAGCTCCTCGGTGTGGGGGGACACTGAGAGCGGGGTGAGGAGCTCGGGGGTCCCGCTGTGGGGCTGGGGCAGCTTTGGGGGAACCTGTGTGGGGTGAGGGACCCCCAGTGTGGGAGCCTGGAACGGGAGCAGGTGTGGGGTGAAAGGGCTGAGACCCCGCCAGGGGTTTGAGGGCCCCGTGTGGGGTTTGAGGGGTCCCGGTTTAGGACCTGAGACCCCAGTGAGGGGTTTGGGGTCAGCCAGGGGTTTGGGAGATAGCTAATACGGGGTGAGGGTCAATTTTGGGGTCCCAGTGTGGGGCCGGGGGTCGGTTTGGTGTTTTGGGGTCACTTCAGGGTTTTCAGGTCATTTCAGGGTTTGGGGTCATTTGAGGGGTTTGGGGACACACTGGGGGCCTGGGGGTTCCTGTGTGGGACAGGTGATCCCAGGTGGGACAGGTGATCCCAGGTGGGACAGGTTAGTGAATCTCAGGGATGCCCTCCCCACCAAAGGTCAGAGTTCAGAAGGCACCTGAGGTAGGGGCCTCCCTCACAGCTGTGGCAGGAGGTACAGTCAAGCCCCAGGTGAGCTCAGGTATCCCCAGGTACCCTCCAGGTGTGCCCAGGTATCCCCAGGTGTGTCTTGTCACCCTCAGGTGTGCCCAGGTGTGCTCAGGTGCCCCTCAGATGTGCTCAGGCCCCCTCTCAACACCCCAGTGCCCCAGTTGTGCCCCGCCCTGACTCACCTGTGCCCCCAGGACGCCGCCCCCGCCTCAGCGGCACCGTGGAAGTGGAGTGTGAGGAGGAGGAGGAGGGCCCCGCGCACACAGGTGAGCCCGGCAACGAGGGGGGACAGGTGAGAGATGGGGGAGCCTGGGCAGGTGAGCTGGGATGGGTGAGCCCAGGCAGGTGGGGGACAGGTGAGGCCGTGCGGGCTCAGGTGAGGTTGGGGGGGGCTGGGCTGAACTCTCACCTGTCCCAGGTGTGTCCCAGGTGTGCTCTCACCTGTGCTCTCACCTGTGCAGGTGCCGCGGCGCAGGTGAGGCTGGGCCGCCCGGGCGCCCCCCCCCAGCATGAGGCGCCCCCTACC